TATTTACATCTCACACAAAAATTTAGATATTTATCTACATACCTATGCATGAAAAGCTGAATTTGAGTCGTGAATAGTATAAATAGTGGTAGATTATGAAGAATTTGGGTGGTATAAATAGTGGTTTAGTCATGGTGGAACTATATGAAGAATTGCATTATGCTCAACATGCATAAGAAAATTATTGAAAAAATAGAAATTATGTGGTGCGGTCCATGACCTACACCCACAGAAGAAAAGCTATGAATGTTTTATTAAGCAAATGTGTAAGGTTACATAGCACTATAACATGAACCAAAAACAGAAACTGCAAGTAATCAAACTGTAGCTATTACATATGAATTTACTACTGCAACAATTACAAGCCACGTCACAAGCTGCTGCAACGAGAAAGCTAATTCCATGCAGCGAATCAAACTGTTGTAGCTAATCAAACTACAGCCATTCAAACTAATGCCAATAAAAAGGAGCAGCTATTCAAACTGTAGCTAATAGAGAAACTGCTTGAGTTTGCATCACAGAATATGCTGCAAATTCCATCATAGAATTAGAAGCTAAACAGTAATTGAAGCAAATAATCTCCACGGCGTTGCAATTAATAAATCAAAACAGAAATACAAGTACACGATAGAATTATGTGGTTCGATCAATGACCTACAACCACAGAAGGAAAGCCACAAATGTTTCATTACGGAATTGTGTAGGATACATAGCTATGAAACTACTGCAGCAATAACATATGAAACTGCTGCACAAAATCCTTAAACCCGAAACTCAAATACATAAGTCTTGAACTGCTGCAGGTAGTACAACTAAAACCAAAAATCCCTATACAAACTGCTATATCAAAAACATAAATCTTGAACTGCTGCTGCTAATAACATAGCCATACACAAATATTCTGCAGATCAAACAACATCAACAAAACAGAAAACATAAACTGCAGCATCAAAACAGAAAGCTAAGCTAATAACAGAGCCATTACATGAACCATGAATCGTAGCCAATAATAGAGTCATTGACTGCTGCAGCTAATGATAGAGTCATTGACTGCTGCAGCTAATAACAGATCCATTACATGAACCATGAACCGCAACCAATACAAACTGCTGCAGCTAATTCAGATAATTCGCAAATACAAACTACTTCAGCAAATACATGATCCATGAATCGTAACCAAACCATGAACTGCAACCAATACAAACTACTTCAACAAATACATGATCCATTAACTGCAGCTAATTCAAATATAAATAAACAATGAAATCACTCCACTTCACAGCTAAACTGCAGCCAATTTCTTCTCTTAGTACTCATTTGAAATCACTCCATATCACATCATCTCCCAAAAAACTTCCAAAACATGCAGATGGGGTAAGGAAAGAGGAGAACTTATAAGCAAGAAATGAAAGAGGAGGACTTTAAGGTTTACAGATCTATCGGCAACCATAACAATCGCAAATGCTCACGACCACATTTTCAAAATGAATGCAACAATGTTTATTAGACACATTCATCAGTTGATATACCACCTTTCCACCTCCTCCAGATCAATAGAAAAATTTTGCCGCGCAGTATATAGCAACGAAAAATCAACCCTAAATTTGTTTATGGCGAAACAAATGACTCCTAAACCAACATTCCCGTGCCAAATAATGACACACACAACAGAAATTGCAGAGAATGATAAGAGAGAATGGGAAAAAGAAAAATCATTCTTTCCAATGCCACATCCAGAAACAAATCACCGTAGAGAATGATAATAGAAAATCATTTCGCAGTAGAAGGCATTAGGGAAATACCACCTTGACGAGGTAACGATCATGATGAGGGTGAAGAGCAGAAAGATCGAAGAGGGAGGGGGCGAGGGAGAGCAGAGACGAGAAGGACACAAGAGTAATTGCTTAACCTAACGCGAGCAACGAAAGCAAGACGCGGTGATAGTCTCGTGATCACCCCTATTAACAAAATAACGACAAGCGGATGACAACAGTAGCAGATCACACGACAAAGACGAAGACCAAACACGAAGCACCCCCAAACGGGCCCTTAGGTAGATATGAAGATTTAGATATGGGATATATAAATACGGAAAAAAGTATGTGCCCCCTTAAATTTTTATATGCTCTGACCAATTTTCATTCCGGTTTATAAAACCGGTTTAAGCAGATCACAAGATATCATGAGACACTTGTCTTATCTATTAGCTGTATGTACATGACTTCCAACGTGAATAATTTTTGGGGAATTTACATACATACCAACCAATTCTTGTGTATTTATATATCTAACACTTATTATTATTTTTTTTTTTACATTTTCAGATAACATGAAAATATAAATTGCAGATTTTTTCATAATATATATTGTAAGAATGAAAATATAAATATAAGAAATGTAGATACATAGAAGCTTTTTCGTATATGTATAATGCCAAAAAATGCAACGTCGCCTGAGAGATTCGAACTCTCGCGGGGAAACCCCATGTACTTAGCAGGCACACGCCTTAACCACTCGGCCAAAGCGACTCATCCATTCTGTTTTGGACGACAATTTTATTTATTTATATTTATTTTGGAACCCGAATCGAAAATAAAATACATTTATGAAAATTTTGAATCAACAAGCTTCGCTCAGTTTCAAGTTTGTTAGGTACGATTTATGCATCAGATAAGGGATAAATACTAGAGCGGAACGGAGCAAATCAGCTGAACGGAAGCATCTGTCCAATCAGAGGAGTTTCATTATATGGGTTGGGGGTGCGGGGTCAACGCCCCTGCGGTATGGTACAAGAGTAATTTTGTAATTATATATTGTACGTCAGAGCTATATATATATATTGTATTTTGTACATTTTTCTGAATTGAAGAAAAAACTGCCGCTCTGCACAAAAGGATGTGGACATCTTTGCTGAACCTAGATAAATTTCTTTGTTTTCTTCTGAATTTGTGTCGATTATCACGTTTCTTTGCCCTAAAATTCCGAACAAGGTTGTGGGATTTTATTTATTTTGGATATGGTGATCATTCAAACTCAATTACTTTTGAATTCTACATTTTGTTTTCCAACAATACATTCAGGAGTAAAGGTCTAAACTTTGGTCTTTCATTTTGGATATAATTTCAAAGAAAAATGAGGAATTATTTTGGAACCTATGGTTCTAATTTTCTAGATCAACCGAATCTCTTACATAGGGTTGTCAAGACGGTTCGTTATTCGTGAACAACTCATGCTCGACTTGTTAAGAAACTCGTGTTCGGCTCTTTCGCTAAGTTAATGAACCAAACACGAATTAAGATTTCTTCGTTCGTGTTTGGCTTGTTTTGACTCGAAATACTACTCATCAGTCATATATATATATATATATATATATTGATACGTCACTAACAAATTTTTATCATCCATCACAAATCTCGAGACAACCTTTTAAGTAAGAAACATTCGAAATTCAATTAAGAGTCATCCAGAGCTTCAGTAAGGTTATAGTCAAGCTGACTGGCTCGATGAGACGGACCCAATGATATAAAATCATTAAACCACTTTTTGAGGATTTTTGAACACATTTGGAAGGTCAAATAGATGTCGAATCTAGCTAGTTCATAGTCGAATCGAGCGTCTCGACAAGACGAATCCAACGAGCTCAAGATTGCTCAATTCCGACATCATTAAGGCACTATAATGTCCATCAAACGTCATCCGATCAATGGAAATTTTCCGGATCGTCCGATCAAAATAGTTCATATTCCTGTATTAATTGCACTAAAAAAATTATAAATAAAACTGTACCCCTCACATGAGGGGGAGACTTGGGAGAGAACTTGAGGCTTTGAAAATGAGCTCAAGCCCAACATCATCCTTGCCATCGTCGATCGTCGTCGACCACCACCAATCATCAGTGACCACCGCCGATCGCCATCGACCAACGTCGATCACTGCTGACCTCTGTCGACCACCGCCGACCGTCCTTGACTGTCGTAGACCATTGCCGATTAATGTAGACCACCGCTAACTGGACACCATCAGGTGACGTTGCAATCTGAAAATCTTGTAACTTTTTCCCGTCTGTGAGACAAGGGGTCTCTGTAATCATCAAACAATATTGGATCTTCATAACTGGGTCAGTCATCGTGGTTTTCCCTTTCAAGGTTTTCCACATAAAAATTTATAGAATTGTCTCTGTTTGTTTCTCTTTCATCTGTGTGTGTGCTGAATTCTCGTACAATGCTAAGAAAATAATCTGTTACTCTACCGCCGCGGATTTTCTAGCACGCATCATATATATATATATATATATATATATATATACACACACACACACACACACACACATTATTCATATTTTTGTATATATATAA